TGGCGCAGATAACAAACAGACCAATGAAAGTCTTGAAATAGCAGTTCTCCTGGCGAGGTGGGAAGTGTAGAACGCCAGTATGAGGAAACGCGACGGCGCAGAGACGGTTTTAACCGCGGGTTAACGTGACATTTTGCGCGATCCGTAAGCGAGTCGCGTAATCAGTCAGCATGCTCACCACCACACCTTCGGGAGCTAGCGGGCACCGGTGTTACTCGGGCTGTATGCAGGTATTCGCGCACATGATTGGTGTCTCTCGAATTTAACACTGGACTCGGTCACGGTGTTCATCATGACTTCATTCCGAGTCCCACAATGCGGCCGCATTGTCCTTGGACAGCCTTCCACTCAACGGAACTCTTTTCTCCGGCCACGTGAAGGCGCCAATTATCAATATACTTTAGTCAAGCCAGCTCGTTGAACGTGACGAACAGCTCTTCGCATTGATTTTGAAGTGGGTTGACTCAACAACGATGCGCTTGCTGGTCTTCTCCTACCAGTCCCTCCTCGACTGGCGATGTTTTTTACTTACGCCTCGCTGTGTCTGGACACTTGCAACCGACTTTGGGGCTGCTTCCTATTTTGTCCCAGTTTAACTTCTGCATCGTACGCCAGTGCCAATTGGATCCGCCACCACCTACGATGCTGCCGTCTGCACACTCAGCTCGAGTCCAATAGCCAACACTATCGTAAATACAACAATACTCGTTCGGCGGTATTCAGATGCTTTAAGGCATCCCGGCCAAAGGCGCCCCACCCTGAGCTCATCCAGCGGGAGAAGACCCGATAAACATTCACTAGTATTTGGCGATATATCATCGGAATGTCCCATAACAAAAATCTGCCGAGAAAGCTATAAATTGACGTCGGGACGGGCGAAAGTTCCACAAGACTCGGTACGCGACTGGGTCCGCGTCGTTGCGCCGTCAAAGGATATCTACTAGCTGCGCTACAACGCCGTGTACGTCGTCGTCTTCAACACCTCCTGTGCAAGATCTTGCTTACCTCCATTTTTTTAATCCAGCCGAAACGAGGAAGAGGAGGAGTAGATGCACACAGACCCCACTTATGGTCTGTGATGGTCTCTCGCGGTTTGCTGTGTCTAGCACGCATGTACGCACATGCACACAATCTATACTGCATGCCATGGTTATCTCTTCGTCCTGACGTTCGCAGTCTCGCTAATGACCGACAACCTTCTGAATATTTTCTCGACCAAGTACCATCCTGTGGAAATGGAGTATTGCTCTAACGCTCTCAGGTCGTTTTATTATTTCTTAATCTAGCATTCTCGGCCGACTCGCCGTCACTTCACTTAATACATTCAACGCGGTCCAAGCGGTATATTATGATTTGAGCCAAACAAGTATTCAATTTTTTATTAATAACGACTTTGTGCACCAACGGGTTGAATCTACATACCGGCCAATATTATTGTGGTTCTTCTTGAATAACGATAGCAGGCTAATTGCAAATGGGTTGTAAATTTTGTCGACAGATCATGAAGAAGTTCGATACAAAATGCTGATTGGCCTCAATTTGAATCACACCAGTTTGCTTTTGTCCCCGGCCGGGGTTTCCGAATAAATTAAAGAAGAAAGAAAGAAAAGAAAAAAAGGAAAATAATAACAATAAAATACAAGTCCGATTCCAAGAGTCCAACTACTCCTCCACCGCCTCCCTCCCCCCCCCCTATATGATAAATCCGTCGCCAATGAGTTCCCCCTCCCCACACATTCATGTACCCCAACTAAACAAACACACCATAGCAAGTAGAACTCTGGCGATGACGGGCCGGAGTGGAAGAAGGAGGGGCGGGCGGTCTGAAGGTGCCTGTGGGCATGGGTGTCGGGTAGACGTGGGGGTGCCTGTGGGCGTCGGTTGCCTGGTGGGCGTCGTATCAGAAACGGTCGACGGTGCGCTGAAAGCGGCTGTCGATGGGCGTGGGCAGGCGACTCAGACTAGTCAGCCAAGACCTGGTAGAAATAATATGTCAGCGCTGAGAACGATAACGGTGAATGAGAAGCGACATACCCTAGCTCAACCGTCACGCAACCCATATCCGTAACCAGAAGTAAACCCAGCTTGACGCTCCGCGAGTCGTAGTGCGTCCACCCTCGGGGCCGGCGTCTTGCTGGGTATGTGGCAACTACAGTCGTGTCGATCGAGAGGGTAAGGCGTCCCCCACCGGCCGTTCGGCACGTCCGCAGTCCTTCTGGTGTTGGATATAGTGTGGCGATTCAGGAGCCGGGGTCGATGACTGCTGGTCGTCGTCGTCTGCCAGCAGGGCAAGGGCGGGGTCGGGACAGCGGGTCGGGGGGTCGTCGAGTCCAGGAGTCACCCGATCTTCGGCCGCGCTCCTATCCGTCCTTCGCCCGTCCATCCTTCCTGCACATCGCGCCGCCCATCGAGTGCCGCAATGCTTTGCGCCCACCGTCGATCGTTTCCGAGGTGACCCCAGCCTCGCCTCCCCATCGTATATTTGAACTCGACGAAAAGCGGCCACCGGCGAGAGACGAGAGCCGGGGCGGGAGAAGAGGATGCGGGTGGTGGAGGTGGAGGTGGAGGTGTTGCCTGTGGGTGTGGGTGTGGTGTGGACGTTGGGGGCCTGTGGGCGTGGGGTGCCTTGCGAGCGTCGGTTGCCTTGTCGGCGTCGGTTCAGTCGTCGAACGGTGCGCTGATAGCGGCTATCGATGGGCGTGGGCGGGCGATATTGACCAGTCAGCCAGAACCTAATAAGAAAAATGAACGTCAGGACTGAGAAGAAGGGTGAATGAAGAAGCAACGTACCCTAGCTCAACCGTCACACAGTAAAGTGCAGCGGGAGCCGGAGTCAGTGGCTGAAGGTCGGCGTCGGCCGCCAGCAGGGCAAGGGCGGGGTCGGGACAGCGGGTCGGGGGGTCGTCGAGTCCGGGAGTCACCCGATCTTCGTCCGCGCTCCTATCCGTCCTTCGGCCGTCCATTCATCCTGCACATCGCGCCGCCCATCGAGGTGCCGCTACTCTTTGCGCACCGCCGTTCTTTCGAAATTGAAGGACCCCGACTGGACGGCTGGTCTGAAAGAGGTATGTCAGCTATGGCGCGATGACAATAACGGCGGCGCGACATACATATGGTGTGGTGGCGCTACGGTGTCCTCGACCCATGCGCACGCTGAGAAGCGTTGTAAAAGCGCGACACTAGGCGACGGTCAGCATAAGGTCGACGTCGAAGACAGGCACTGGACTCACTGGGGAGATCAGCCTTCGATGCCACCGAAACCAACGAAGCCGTCGGGCAGACGCTCGCTGAGCGAGGAAATGGAGACAAAGAGGAAGTGGAAATGAGTGAATAGCACAAATCGCCCAGAATTTATACCTTGCACTCTTATTTGTCTCTGTGTACGAATTTACATCCGCATGTGAAATACCTTTGCAATTTAAAATGACCATTGCCCGATAAGGAGATTTTGGAAATTTGTGGCTGACTGTGGCTGACATCCCCGGAGCATGTCCGATTGAGTCCGTGGAATGTGAGGAGGCTCCGGTGAGGTAATTGTGCACTCGACATTGCCCTTAGCTCCAACGCAATGGCGATGTTCTGCCGCTCTTGAAAGTAGGCGGCATGTGAAACCAAAGACCCATTTCAAAAGAAGTAGCGGCCCTTCAAGAAAGCAAGCTCAAGGAAATCTCGGAGAATATTGAGGAATACATTAATATTCTCGAGAACGTTGAAGACCATTTGCCATTACAGCCTAGCCCAAGGATATCATGCACGCGCTCTTCCACGCTTCCTTGCAGTCGAGTGATGCGGAGATTGAAGACTTGGAGACCCATGGACGTGCATAGAGAACATAGCGATGGTTCAGAGCTTTGAGATTGGGGCCGTGGGGTTGTACGAAGTCGAACTGACTCCGTATCGTCACGGTGTCTATTCCTCATCTTGTTCAGCCTTGGAGTCTGCTGAGACGCAACCCGAATCGATTGGCAAACGATGCATGCTGGGACATCTTGATTTCTTTGAGTGGTTTATATTTGGGTGAACGACTATCTTCATCCCGTCATATAAAAGTGTTATTTGAGTGGCATTGAGCACTGGCCGGCAAATTCTAGCTCGGTCGATGGAGACCTCAGATAGGGGCAGGAGAGCTACTTCATGTTCTAACGCGAGACACTTGAGGGGGGGGGGAGGTCTGCCAGACGAGACAGAAGTAGGACTGCTCAGAGGCAGGGATTGGCATTCAAATGAAGTGGTTCGAAAGAGAGAGCTATTTGACTATGTTGACTCAACTCTTTTGATGCTTGGATCTGGCCAATGACTTATCGGCGTTTCTACAGCCTGCTTCTGCAGTTGCAATACAGCATCAAGATAGAAGAGCTGAGCAAAGCTAGTGTCATGTAATCCTGCAGCTGGCGAACCCTTTGGACGATCTCTTCTAGCTTCTCCAGGCGTGTCCAGCTGCTCCAGTATCTCCTATCCTATCCACGCTTCATATGGGCAAAGGAAGCCCTCCGGTCGAGAGCGAAACCGCTAAGAATTCGAACACCTGGACCCAAAATTGAAACGGTACGGTCACTCTTCGTGGAGCCGGGTAAGCGCGCATGGCCCGCCCGTCCGGCGTAGGTCAGGATTGGGTCAGGATTCAAAAAACAGGAGATGGCATTTTTGTCATTCGTAGGACCGTGTTCCTGTCCTCATGAGACCAATGGTGCAACGGCTCATGTGTCCCTCTTAGCTCAGTTGGTAGAGCGCGTCACTAGTAATGACGAGGTCAGTCGTTCAAATCGGCTAGCGGGAATCTTTTTTTCTGATTTACTACAGCTATTAGTGTCGTCAAAATCATCGATACCAACACTATGGCAATAATATTAATGTTTCTTTTTGGTCTCTTCCATCCCTGAATTTTTTGATAACTCCCTCTTAGCTCAACCCTTTTTCCGATTTAGCGTCGACTAAAAAAACATTCAATCCTCAAATTTACTCCAAATCTCCTCCATCCTTAAATTCGATGGCGTGTCAGGTCCCTCTTAGCTCAGTGGTAGAGCGCATCACTCGTATTCGTTGAGCATATGATGAGGTCAGTCGTTCAATCCGGCTAGCGGGAATTTTTTCCTTTTTTTTTTTTTTTGAAGATTCTTGGAAACGTCTGAATCTCACTTCCCCTTCATAAACCCATCTAGTAACCGCCGAGCTGCTCCTTATCTTATAAGTAAGGCATAGAGCTGAGTGTCCAAGAAAGCCATCTGTGGTCCTTCAAAGACAGATTAGCGTCCGCCGTGTAGTCTATAATTTTAACGCCACTCAAGTCCCTCTTAGCTCAGTTGGTAGAGCGCGTCACTAGTATCTACGAATATTCCAAAAATTTATGACGAGGTCAGTCGTTCAAATCGGCTAGCGGGAACTTTTTGTGTATTCTTTCACTCCTTTTTATCTCTACTCTCCTCAATAATAATAATCTCTCAATGCCACACATATACAATTCAATTCATTCAGCCGAAAACGAAAAAGAGATGACAGAGAGAATAATAATAATAGTTGTTTGTTGCTACGAGCGAGTGAGAGAGAGATGGGCGTCCAAGTCCAATTCGTGTAATGTATGTAATGTGCTGGCTGTGGACGCGGATGGGTGGGTGGGTGGTATACGTATGACATATTATGCTGAGATGGAGCGGGACGATGGATGGATGGATGGATGGATTGGATGGATAAATGGAATGATGTACACAAGAAGGGACACGACACGGGAAAAGAAAAGACAAGAAGAAAAAGGAGATATGGCGACAAACAAGCCCGTTCCGCGCACTATGCCATGACCACGGAAGAGGCGTCCCCCCAAAGAAAAAGAAAAAAGAAAAACAGAAAAGAGAAATGGAAGACGGAAAACGAGAATAAAAAGGAGCTGGGGTAGATAGAGTACGTGGGTGGTAGGGTAGGGTAGGTAGGGTTCAGAGTATGTATATATAATATGCCAGTGGGCGGGGGACGGGTGGGTGATAGTATACAAACAAGCGGACGCGGACGCGGGAGGGGGTGGGGGTGGGATGGGGAGGTTTCGAGCGAGCCGGGGACGGGGATGTGGATGGAAAGCAGGAGAGAGAAGAGGAACCTGTCCTCTAAATCAGCCTGGCTGGATCGCGCAAGAAAGAAAACAACGCACCTAGTAACGGTAACGGGAACGGAACAGCATGGGAGTGGGTGTGGTATCGGGGGTTCTTGCGCTCTTTGCTCTCTCGTTCATTCGTTTCGTTCGTTTCGTTCGTTCGTTCCCCTCCCCCCACTCTCTCTGTTTATTTTCTCGTTTTCGTTCTCGTTTTCGTTCTCCTTCTTTCCGTGGTAGCGGGGGGTGTGCGACGGGCGGGGGTGGGGGTGAGGAAACGACGACGAAGCAGGTGAAGGGGCGAATACGACGACGGGGCGGTAAAAACGACGACGGCGGGTGAAGAGGCGAAAACGACGACGACCGGACGGGGGAAAAAGACGTCAAGACGTCACCGACACCAATACGCCGCTAGGGGGACGTGAACGTGAACGACGGTGGGGAGCGGGGCGAGGCGGGGCGAGGCGAGGTGGGGGGCAGATAGATAGATAAATACAGAGCGCGCGCGCGAAGACGACCATCGACGTGGATCGTCCCACGAAAAAAAAAAAACCTCCCCCCCACAGGCAAAACACCCCACCCACACCCCGCACACCCACACAACTCACTCCTTATGCCGACTAATCTTCTCCACCCCCGCCCCCAGCGCCGTCCGCCTCCTCGCCTCCTCCCCATCCTCCTCCTCCTCCTCATCGTCCTCCTCCTCCTCCTCCTCCCCATCCCTCACCTTGCCCTTGCCCTTCCCATCCCTCTCGTCCTCATCCTCCGAATCCGAATCCTCCGAATCCGACCCCGAGCTCGACCCAGACGACGACGACCCAGAGCCTATCGCCGCCGCCGCCGCCGCCGCCGCACTCGAACTCGACGAAGGCTTGAACCCCGCAAGCGGCGACGCCGCGCCCGGCGCACTTCCGGGCGCACTCCCCGGCGCACTCCCCGGCGCGCTCCCCACCGCCTCGCGCGAGCCCGAGCGGTGGTGGTGATGGTGGTGATGATGATGGTGATGATGGTGCCCCCGGAAATGCGCAGGCAGCGTAACGGCGCGCAGGACGTGCTCCTCGTCGTGCGGCGTGCTGGACGCGGGGGGTGAAGACGCAACAGAGGACGACGCAGGCGGGGAGGACAGTGTTGTAGTTGATCCCGGCACGGCGGGCGTGGGCGTCGCTGTGGATGACGACGTGGGCGTCGCCGCGGACTCCTCTGCCGCCGGCGACCCCAAATCCGGCGTAACCAACGCCGCCTTGTCGAGTGGCGGCGGGACGTGCGCCGGTGTTGGTGTTGGTGCGGGCGCCGTCCCCTCCGCACCACCCATCGGCGTACTCGCATCGCTGCTCCCGCCCTCCTCCTTCTCCTTCTCCTTCCCCTCCCCACCCGCACTCCCCTCCTCCTTCCCCTCCCCACCCGCACTCCCCTCCTCCTTCCCCTCCCCACCACCCCCACCCCCATCCCCCTCCTCCCCCCCCTTCTCCCCCTTCGCCTTCTCCTCCGCCTCCCTCGCCTCCCTCTCCCTCCTCTCCCTCTCCCTTGCCTCCCTCCTCCTCCTCACCCACCCCATCCCACTCCCATCATCATCGTCCTCCCCCCCGTCGCCCACACCCGCCATGAGCCCGCTCCCCTGTATCTTCTTATACTTCTCGTCCCCCGGCGCCGCATGGCTATTATGCACGCTCCCCATCCCGCCATACCCCCACTCGACAAACTCGGGGTCCGCCTCGTCCCGCGCGTTCGCGAACGGGTTGGCGTTGCCTGGTCATGGGGGTGGGTGATTAGCGGGGGTTGTTGCTTAGTAGTAGTAGGGAAAAACATAGGGCAGAGCAGGCTAAAAAAATGGCAAGGAGTCGTGCGAGAGAGTACCACCCCACTGTCGCGCGAGGCGGACGACGAAATCGGTCTCGCGCCTATACGCTCACCGACGGTACTCCCCCATCACGAAATCAGACACTCGGCGCGATTGACACCTCTGCCAAGAAAAAAAAACCCCCAACGAGAGGCGGGTGCAGTCCGAGTCGAGTCACGGACGGTGGGGCGGGGCCGCCCCGACTCTCGTGCGGTTTCCACTCGAATCACCAGCGGTCGCAGGACGCGCCGCACGTCTCCACTCGTACATCGCCAGTCCCTCCCGCCTTGCATAGGCGCCGCGCTCGACGGAGGTATGTAGTATCCGGCAAATGACTCGATAAGCGCAGATCTAGGCTCGTGAGCTGGCGTGGCGGATCTATGCACAGCACGGCACGGCATGTTGCAACAGCAGAGTTAGTTCTCCACAGCACCACAACAGCGCTCCACAGCATCACTGCGATTGCTAGCACACGACAGCAGCCTGGTGTGCAGGAGGGGAGTAGAGGAATGTAGCGAAAAATGCAAATAAAAAAGCAGAATGAAAGAGAAGGAAAGAAAGAACAAGCACTCACCATTCCTCGAGCCATACACCCGGCCATTCAGCATGCGTGTCCCGCGCCTATTGGTGAGGCTCCCGCCAAACGCATTCAGCGTCGGCTTGCTCGCGCTGCTGGTGTCGGTGGAAGCGGACTTTGAGGACGGGCGCAGCGCAGCGAGGCCCTTGCGCTTCTTGTTCGGGGATGCGTACGCGACACCGCTGACGCTGCCTGTGCGGCTCTGCATGCGACCGAGCGGCGAGCCCGCTGCGGCGGCGCTGTTCGTGCTCGCCGCGCTGCCCCATCTCTGTAAATCCGCGCCCCAGGATGGTGTTTGAGTGTCGTCCGCCGGTGCGGTGGGTGCACGGTCGCGGAAGAGGTTTATGGTGCCGAGGGTGAGGACTGCCTCTGTGGAGACGTTGAAGCGGCCGAATATGCGGCTGTTGCTGGTGACGCCCTTTCCGTTTGTGCTGGTTGCGGAGTTTGGCGTGGGTGGCTGCAAGGAGGGCGTGGGGGTGAGGGAGTCGGTGGACGACTGCGGTGTGCCTGTGCTGCGCTTGTAGAACGGGGTGAGCAGACCCTTTGGCTTGGGCCATGTCGAGCTCTTGGCAGCCGGGCCGGGCCCGGTGGCGGCAGGGGCGGACTGCAAAGGCGGGAGGGGCGAAGCAGGTGGGGGCAGCGGCGACGGCGGGGCGGCCGGGACATAGATGTGCTGGGCCTCGTCGTCCTCGGCCGGGCTCGGCGGCAGCGGCAGCTCTGCGCCGTCGTCTGTGACGAGGACTGAGCGGCGGGGATCGGGCAATGGTGCAAAGCGGATGCGACGCTGTTTCATTGTTGTGGGTGTGTTTGAGGTGTCTGCGCTGGTGTGCGACGACGAGCTGCTGGCGGATGACGACGAGCCGGTGCTGTTTGACGACGACAACGAGTGGGTCGACGCCGGCGATGGCAGCAGGATCGACCGCGGGGACACCACAGACATCATGGCAGAAACAACCACAAAAACTTGAGACTCACATCAATTCCATATCTCGCATATTGCCGTCAGCAACATATCTTGGCTTCCCACGCCCAGAACACTCGTCCAAATTTGACAGACATATAACCGTGATCTCCGCGTATATACGTAGCAGCTACTAGTCTCGTCTTCCTTTTCCACGTCCTGCATTACTTAACCTTTCCGTGTTACCTGCCCCACTGGCAAGTCTATCCCGCACACGACACCCCCATCCATCGGAATTACGCTTTTACGAACGTGTGCCCCTCTTAAAAATACTATCAGCACTGCACAGCCCGCGTTACCGTTAGCTCACCGACAACTTATGCAATACCGCGCTCGCTCCTTATCGCACTCCTTGAGCTATGTACGTATGCGGCCGAGGCCACGCAACAAACAATCGCCCACCTCGGGAAGGTCGCCGTGCTCACCGAGCCTCGGTCAATTTCCCGCTCTGGCCTATATAATACTTGCCGAATCTTGTCTGTCAATGCTTATGCTCCGGCCCGCCCATTAATTATACAGTAATATTCCCTTCCGTCTCCCCTCCATTCCCTTTCGGCTTACGCGCGCAAGGTAAGTAATACATACGTGGCTCCGCGGCTGACTTACGCGTACGGAGCATGGCGGACTCGCAACTCGCCACACATCTTTGACATCATCGCCACCGGCGCAGTTCGCTGATCCCACCCACTCCGCTCCCGCTCCCGTACACGTACTCCGCGATAACACACACAAGGGTCGAGACCGAACGTTCCTCCTCCCGACGTAATTAACTCGCCTATACTGTTCGGAGGTATAAAAATAATTCATTCATATCCCAAATTATCGCAGGCTCCCCTATATTCGCAGCATCCCAAATGATTATTGTAGTTCTTCCGTCAAGTCCATTCTCTTTCGGCTTACACGCGTAGGTGTTTCCGCGGCTGGCTCAC